GTCTCCAAATAAAAATAAAAAGGGCTGGGGGGTGGTGTATAGCTCAGTGTTAGAGAGCCCTTGGGTTCAATCCCTCGTGCCAGGGATGGAGTGGGGGTGGAGAACTGGTGAGTCACATTTTTAAATCTATGTGTGAGTTATATTTTTAAATCTATGAACATTTCTGGAGCTAACAGATGCTAATTACTCTAGAACTCTCAAGTTAATATCAAATTACTAAGCACTACAGAGTGGACCTATCTCAAGTTACCTCCTTGTCCTTCTCTATCCAAGTTACTGTATTCTTTAAGCGCTGTTCTGAAAGGCATTCCCACTGTGCAGCAGGGTCTGAAAAGTAATAGCTCTCCTCGATAGCAAACTAGTCACCTAGAATCTGAAAACTTTCCCCAGCTCTACCTTAGTTTCACTCATGTAGATTTTGGCTTGCTATTTCTTACTTGCAATCTGCTACCTTCCACTTGCTCATCTGTTGACAACAGCTGTCCATCTCCCACTATTACCTTTTGCATCTTGAAACAGACCTCAGATAACCTCATCATTTGCTTCCTTGCCTGGGGTAAATGGACACAGACCAGCATAGCTATTATCCTGGATCTCTTCCTAGATACCTGATCAAAACAGAGAAGGGTCAACAAAAGGCCACTTCCCCAATTTGCCTAATCTTCTATCTCTGGCATCCTTTGAAGATGATGCAGTTAAGAGGTATGGCAGCTGGGGCTGCAAGACAGTGTGGAGCAGTAGCAAGGTAAAATGGCTTGCATGAGACGGAGGATCTGGACCAACTGAAGATGGAAGAGTGAAAGGTGGGCAGCAAGGAAGGGAAGAAATGAAAGATGCTGAAGGGAAACTGATGTGACTGCCTAGAGCACAATTTACAATGTGACTGAAGGAGGGCTGTGACATTAGATGGCCTGGTGTGCACTGTGGGTCCTTTACATGAACACATGACTTAGCTTTAGGTCTCTGTTTCCTCATGCATAAAATGGGGATAATAATGTCACAACTTCATAGGGGTACAGGGAGAATTAAATGAGATAACAGGGAAAAAGCATTTAGAACATGCCTGTCACAGAGGATTCAATCAAAGTTTTATCATTATTGTTCTTATGTACTCATGATAAAATATCATTTCTGTGCTACTTAATTTCTAAAATTACACAAAGTGACTCAAATACTTAAATATTGACTTTCTGTTTGTTATTGCAATTTTAGTTTGATATATGAACTAAAACTACAATCATATCATATTGATCAAAATAAATTTGCTATGGTAATATCACACCAGCCCTTAAAGTTAACTTTCTTCTTTTGCCATTTGTCCATTTCTGGTTTCCATCATCTGCCTGCTACTTTCTACTTCTCTGATACACATGAGTGTGGAATATTAGGAGATAACTGTGTCCTTTTAAAGTGTAACATAGTAATCTCATTGAAAGTTACAACAAACAAAGAAAAGCAACATGGATATCTAATAAGCTTTTGAAAGAGCCATTAAATTACAAAATACTGCCATCTGTGGTAAAGAGTATCAGATTTAGTGGGCATTATTATATTTATAGATTAACTCTGAATTTGTTTGCTTTTCCTTTATAATATATATTTTTTTTGGTTATAGGCCCATTACTTTTGAAATATAGCTCTGGTTATTAATTTACAGGCTAAACTGAATTTCCATTATTCTTTCTTTTATTCATTCAATCTCCTTGAGTATGCTAATGGGCAATGAAATGCCTAAAATATATATAAAGAAAAGAGAGAAGTAGAAGAAAAGAACTGCAGAAGTGAATGAACTAAAGGACCTAGAATAACTGGGAGTTGGCTGTAGTGTTCTGTATTATTTTCTAAGGGGAGTAAGTGGATTTTAGAACTACTTAAAGCCTGGAGAGGCACTAAAAATAAAAATGTATAATGTGAAGTCTACGTTTACTCGATAGCTACTTCAGTTTTTTTTTCTTTTCTCTAAAAAATGATTTCCAGTGTTCTAAGACTCAATATCATGCTAATCAGAGGTAATGCTTTTGGACTACTGGCTTAAATGAGCAGTCAGAAGCCACCATCTCCTGCAGGTGGACAGCCAGAAGGTACTTCGGCAGATCAGTAGTCAGTCCTCTCATTACTTGAGGAGCTCAGAATCCATCGAGATGGGTATCAGCCAGCGAACAGTAATTCCTTTCCAACCGAACAGAACTGCACTTGTATGAAATGATCTAGAAAGTGGGTGACAGGAGGCCTCTCCAACTTGTGAAATGGTAGAGACAAGACATCTGTTTTTATGTCTCACCTCTGAGACATCTTTGCAGATACTGGGAATACTGTGATGGATAGTGCTGACTCTATCAAGTCTTTGAAATTCTTTTTCCCTCTGGCCAAACAGTACTAGAATTCATTTTCCATGCTTAGAATCCACATTCTATAATTTTTATGTTTGAATATGCTCGGCCAACTGTAAGGATGTCACAGCAAGGAGCTGAATGTTTGCTGAAGCCGGCTTTAGAATACAGACCCATTGTAATGTATCATTAATGTGTTTCTAGTACATTGTGAACCCAGGGTCAGGGATGCAGATATGAATGCACCTCAGTTTACCAGGGACACTGTGATGCGGGGAGCAGGAGCTCCGTCACAGGAGGCATTGTGACCCCCTTCCCCAATTCATGTGATGAAATCCTAATCCCCAGCACCTCATAATGATCCTGCATTTGAAGATAGAATATTTAAAAAGGTAATGAAGCTAAAATGAATTATTATGGTGGACCTGAATCCAATATGCTTAGTATTCTTCTAAGAAGAAGAAATATGGACACAGACAGAGAGAAGGTGGCCATCTGAAAGTCAAGAAGAGAGCCTTTAGATGGGACCATTCTTCCAACACTTGGATCTTGGGCTTTTAGCTCCTAGACTGAGAGAAAATGAATTTCTGTTCTTTAAACAACCACATCTGTAGTGCTTTATTACAAAAGTCCAAGCAAATTTATACAAACTATATTTGTAAAAGAACATGTCAGAAACTCATCTATGACAATGCATGACTGCACTCAGTGCATGCTGATCCCCACCTCTACCACATGGGAGAAAATCAGCTTAAGGACGGGGGTTTGTGAGTATTGGTTGGTCCCAGGGCCCTAGAGTACAGCAGGGTGAGAGAGCAGTGTGTGCAAGGAAGAATTATTTTTTAACAACACCACCAAAAATTCCTTTTGCTTTCTTATTACAAAAGATTTACATGTTCATTGTAGAAATATTAGGAGATACAGATGAAGAAAATGAATAAATGGTATATAACTAGGATCTCACCTCTTTAAGATTAGTATTCATATATTGTTGTCTTTCCAGACTTTTCCCTGTAAACACACAAATCTATATGTACAATGCATACCTATATATAAGCAAAAATGGAATAATTCATTTCTCATATCTGATATTATTACATTCTATCAATTATATTCTAGAAGTAGAGTTGGGGAGCGGGTTGGGTCTAGGCTCAGACATTTGTAAAGTCTTTGATATATTTTGCTGAATTACCTTCAGAAAGGATGCACACATTTATAGTCAGTGAATCTATTTCAAGTGCAGCATAAAGCCTTGTCACCAGTAACTCCATACTCAGCTGCTTAAGGGCTTTTAGCCAAATTCCAAGGAAGGAAAGTGTAGAAACTAGAGGACACTGAAAATCTCTGCCACCAGTGACTCAGGGCATTCCAAGTGGCTTGATGGAGGAGTGTCCAGTGTTGAAGGAGGAGGCATTTCCCACCTTAGCAAAGCAACAGGTGGAGGCGCAGCGTGGCAGGATCAGCATGTACAGAAGTTGAGGTGGGAGCCACAAGCTCTGCCAGGAGGGACCACATCAGGTCAGCAGCTAGGAGTCTGGAGAGTATAGCCCTCGTGGGGTTGTGGAGAATGGAAAAGTGTGAAGAGGGGACTTGCATCACTCACTTGAGTGTGAAAGCATATCCCCAAAGATCTCTGGGTAAACTGGATGGAGCCCTGGACTCCATCCAGTTTACCAGAGGTTCCAGGGATTTCACTGCAGGGAGCCTGAGATCACTGTTGATTATGACCCTTGGTTGTTAATTTTATCCCTTGAGCCTTCAGGGCCTGGGAAAATACAGGTTATTCTAGGGAACGAGAACAGAAGGACTGATAGCCTTTGCATTTTTTATGCATTAATGGCAGATGCTATTCGATTTTGGTTCTTTGCCCAGTATAAGAGATCCCAGAGGGCACACTTAAAAGGGAAAACAAGCTAATCTTTAAATGAAAAATAAACGTTTTGTTTCATAAACATGAAAATGATGTGGCACTCAATAAAGTGTGTTAGCAAGTAAACGTCTGCCACGTAATATGATAAATAAAGTAGGTTAATTACGCTTGAGAGAAGAACTTGACTTTTACTTATCATTGGGAGATTTAAGAACTTTTCAGCAGGAATTTTTCTGAGGAAGAAGAGATTTTTCTGGTCTGACCTGTGGTAGACGGAGAATGTGAGGGTGAGGAAGGAGAAGAGCACCTTCTTCATTGACTAGAAAGGTGTTGTCACACTCTGCTTATGTTTCAGGGTATTCAGAGCACCAGGTTGTCCATAAGTCTTTGCTGGTCAGTCTTAATATATGTCAGAAAGATAGCCACGCTGATCTCACAATAAATAGATTGTAGATATGAGTGAAAAATTAATAAAATCTTTTTTGGTTTTTGTTGTTGGTGGTGTTGGGGGTGGAACCTGGGCCTCTGCCTATGCTAAGCTCTTCCACTGCACTACAGATCTGTCCAGTGGCTTCCTTGAAATGCGAATTTAACTGCCAAAGTCGCTTCCAAAAGTTAACTTATGTTCTGTACGCTTGCCCAAGGCAATGAATAAATTTCCAACAAAACAAACAAGCAATTTCTTTCTCTGGAGTGTTTCCTTCTATCTTCAAGTGGTACCATGGAGAATTAATTACTTCATAATCTCACTCACTATAGCCTATCAAAATTAAAAATGGTCATGGAAAAGCAGAGCTTACCATCTATCACTGGTTTTGGCTGAGAACTTTTGAGGCGTAGCGAGGGCCGGAAGCGGGTGCGGTCATTGAAGCTCCAGCTCTTCTGCACTTTGGTGGGGCTGCCCTCGGCTGTGATGTCGGTGCTTGGGGACCTCCTGTCACCTACTGAAGCTTGTCTGCTCTTAATACTCTGGCCCCTCGGGCTAGCCATGCGCACTCGCTCCTTAAAACTTAGCTTCTGACTGTGGAGAACAGAGGCATGATTATTCCATTTCAAGCAATTTCTTTAATCTCACTTGGGTACATAATTGGATGAAATTGTATATGGTCATGTATTTCTATAGATAAAGTGTTTTCAGCAAGTAGGAACACAGGAATGTATTTTATCCTTATTGAAAATTTGAGCTTCATTTAATATGTTTGCATTTACGTGAGATCAGTCTCATTCCACAGGCATACACACCCTTCTTGGATTCATCATAGAAATGACTGCGACCAGGAACATTTTGTACACACTTACACTGGAGATAAACAAGAACTGGTTTGGAATTCACTTTAAAAACTGTCAGGTGATTTTAGCGTTAGCCTCAACTTTTAAATTAAAAAGAGTTTCATTTATTTTTTGTTTGAGAGCATATCTCTTTGTAATTTCTAAAGGAAAACAGGGATGACAGTTACATATATACCTACATTCAGCATGCATTTTTTATTCCAGGCAAGATTATGATATCCATACATTCATGCAATCTCATAGCAGTTGGTAGCACTGCATTCACAATACTAAACATACAACACTTAACATTACATTTCTTTTATGCTTACATTCATTCGTGTGAGACAAAAAAAACACCAAGATAGGACAGCCTCAACATATAATGAATGAGATGACTGATTAACAGAATGAGATGTCATGTTCACTAACACAATTTCCTGCTATTAAACAGGCTATTGATTTGCTGTGGCAGCTACTGGTAAATTATATTTGTTCAAACATTCAGTTCTCTGGTCCTGGCCAGGATTAAATTGTTGTGGATGGTTCAAGGAAGCATTAACAACAACAAAATCCCAAATGCATCTTCACACATTCCTAATCAAGAGATGTGGTGTGATGTGCTGGTAAAGGTAAGGTTGAACCAAAGAGACATGAGTTTTGGAATCTCATCTCTGACATGGAGATGAAAACAGCAACATAACTAAAAGATTTTTGTGGTAATCAAATGAACTGGAGGAAGTATGCTTCCATTTTGTTTGTTTTCTTGCTTCTTTAAGTAACTGTGCTAGTTATTAGCAGGCAAAACACTGTTATCAATGGGAGAGGCCCAGGATTCAGCAGGGACTGAAGAAATAATGGGGCAATGGGTCTATGGGGGAGTCACCCAGAGCAGCTCTTCTAAGTCATGCTGCAGCTCTTGTGGGAGATGAAGGCAGTGTTCTCATGGATAAGGATTATCTGATACGAAGTGGAGGCCTTGTCTTTTCCACTTACCGCAGTGTCCACTGTCCCCAACTGCAGCATGCCAACAGCAAATGTGTTTAGTGGATATGTGTTTTATAGCTAACAAGAAACAGTAACATTTATTTTTCCATGCCTAGTTGCTTAACAAATGATATTCTAAAAATGCACTGCATTTTATGTGTGTTTACATGGAAACAAATCATTTCATGAACTGGGGTGGTCAGAGAGTTCTGGTAACAATAAACGAGTTGACCATGCAACTGACAGCTCCCTCTGAAATGCAGACACAGCAAAGTCTAGCATGACTAGCTGAAGGCACATGCAGAGAACAGGCTGGGCAGTTTTGTGATGAGGTCAGGTGAGTTCAAGAGTTCTTTACGACAGTACCATCAGTCGGAAGGTTTATCTGTACTTGACAAATGTGTGATTAAATGGTAGATTACATTAAACAAGAGCAACAATAACATCATAAAACTGCATCTTTTTATTCTCAGACTAGTTTCTCTGTGTCATCCCAAAACCTTCAATTATTTAAACAAATCCATCAAAGGGATAGTGCCCCAAAGGCCTACTTTTCTTAATTTTTTTTAATAGTAAAATTTCAGATTTCTTCTTGATTTCAACACACCTGCTCCGTAATTTAAATTTATGATGATCTGGTTCAGGGACCATATGCTCCTATCTGCAACTTTATTTAGATTAGTGAAGGAAAAGCAGATGTAGCTATCAATACAGGAGTCCTCACTATAGTTGATCTTATCTTTTCTGGAACCAATAGAGGCTAATTCCTGTATAAGGTTGGGTTCAGTAAATATTAAAATTATTTTCTCAAACTTTCAAGATATCTCTTTCCTATGCCAACTAAATGAACAAGGTACAAATAAAAGTCATGCAACTATTTAATGTGAGCCTCATTTTGTTAATTTTAAAGCATTTCAATTTCTAAAAACCTTAAAGGAAAATCCTAAAACGAAAGTACCAACATCCTATCCACCATGGTCTATTTACAATAAAAAAATATTTAAAAATTGCTCCGATAAAATATATTAAAAAACTGTCCCTATGAAACACTTTGGGATTATCTCTATGGATTCATGGAAAGTGGGAACAATGTTTTCTGAATCTTAATGTAAAGTTCCATTCAAATCATTTAAAGTTGGTATAAATAAATTCTGGTTGCCATTTCCCTTTTTTACTTCTAAACTACATGCATATTTGCTTAAATCTAATATTTTAGAAAATTTCAAAAACCGTTTTAAAATAAACTCAATATATTGCACAATAAATTGGCAAAAATGTAATGTTTCACTTTCTCTTTTTTCAGAATTGTTTGAAAGGTAAAAATAAGACCCTAACCCAGAACTTTTTAAGTAGGCATTCATTTTTCCCCACAAGACAAAGATCTGTTCTTGTGTTCTCTCACAAAAAGCCCACTTTTATTAGTTGTTCTGCTTCATTTCCCCTTTGGAAATCAACACAGCATTTTGATTTGATGACAAACTGATTAAGTAGCTGTTATTGAAAACACACATTGATTAAAAATATAGACTCTTAATGGGTACATTAAAGTTTCCATTATTTTCTGTTTTCTTGTGACATTTAGAAGCATCATTTTTGAGGAAGATTTATGTAACAGTATTTTTAGGAAGAATGCCAAGGATGATCCCCAGGAGACCAACAAGTAGGTCTCTTTGGAGAAAGTAACCAAAAAAGGTCACCATGGTCATTGATTGGACCATCTTAGTATATAATCCCACATTCCCAGCTGAAGACCATGCTCAGGGGAGCCTGCACAACTGCTCTGGAAGGGAATTTTTCCCTCTAGAACCAGATGTACAAGTTATTCAAATAGCCCCAGCATGCAGTGAACTACCGGATGCTCCCTGCCAGGGAACTGTGTGGCATCATACCCCACAGTAATCCTCTGGGACTCAGAATGCTGTAGTTATTGTTATACTTAATTAGGGTTTTAGCCCTTCATAGGATAAGCATTCTACAATTTCTCGCCTCAGGCACAAGATGGCAACTAAGCCATAACAATTCAAGGCGTGCAGCAGCTCAGCAGTAGTCCAACCACAAGGAGGCGCCAAGGGGCTGACTGCCAGTACTATGCGGGACCCTGCCTATTTGTCCCAGTGGTGGAGAGTATCAAAGCAGGCAACAGGCAACAAGGAAAATTACAAGCGGGCTGAAAAATCTCATTCAAGAAGTCCCTAGGAGTAGTGAGTCTGTGAACAGGGCTCAGGTGGGGTGGCGGTGTAGCCTGGTCATGCACCTGAGGTTAGTTGGCATTCTCAAATCTCATGTCAATAGCTGGGATGCTGGGTACCTCTGCTTCCGTGAAGTGTACATTCTGAAGAGCTTCTGCTTATTACTACAGAACTTACTAGGAGTGAGGGAAATAGAGCAGCACATTACTAAGCATTTTACCACCAGGGAAGTGCTTAGGGATTTTTTTTCTTTCTTTTTCTAAAAACAAAGCCACTTGGCTTTATTGCGTTTTATATATAAATACATAAACTACTTAAGCAGTAAATACTATGTACTTTAATTGTGCTGCTTGAAATATATTCAATGCTTTTAATTGTTAGGTTGAAATAATTAGGTTTGAAATAGGCAATATAAATGATGGTAGTCTATGTGTTAGCATCTGTTTCATTAGAAAAGAAGAACACAGATAATTTAGAATATAGCAACCCCCCTAGTAAATATCAAACAACATAGTATAAATGATTGAGGAATAAAATACTTCAGAAATTTTAAGAATAAATATTTATAGATATCAATGAGGTAGATAACATTAATTGCTTTGAAATGTAAAAAACCAAACAAACAGATTTTGATTTCTGCAAAATGCCTGCAGTTAAAGATAATATAAGTAATCAACTGTCAAATAACTACATGAACAAAAACAAGAAAAGAGTCTAGGTTGCTAGTTTGAAAAAAATTTTTCTTATTTTAAATTCTATGATGTTTTTAAAAAGGGAATTAATTCCTTTTGGTGAAGTGTTCATTATAATATACACTATTGTACATTATAATGTACAATAAATGTGAACAGAAGGAGAGATGGTGTTGAAAAGATTTTTGTTTTAAACAATTGAACATTTTCCCAATAATGACTCAAGCTGACAATGCTGGAAAAAATAAAGTCCAGTTTTATCGAGCTTAGTTTAACAAAACATGCAGATCATTCATTGCACACGTAAGAAAATGTAAATAATGGAAAATAAATGCAGAAAATAAATGCAGGAGATGTGTAAGAATTTCTTCCCAAAGTGTTCTAGAGTTCTATCCCAGGAGCCACACACAGTCTCGGAACCCAATAAAACAACCATGCTGGAGCTGTTTGGACAAAGCACTCAGAGGACTATAGCACAAGATTTTCTTGTAATGAAAGAATATTATTTGTGCCTTAACTTTTAAGACATACATCTTTATAAGTCTCACAAGTACCTGTGAAAGCAGTTTATATAGTGTGCTGTCTGAGAAGTCTGAGGGGGTTCTAGTGTTGCTTTGAAAACAGCTGCTAAGGAAGACAGTGTAACTATGAAGCTGGCACCCCGCCCAACCATTAGTGACTAAGCAGACAGGGTACATGGAGGCAGAGGATGGCAGGTAATCCCTCACATCTCAGATGGCATGATTTGTTCTTGTAGCATTAAAAACCCTGGTAAGAAGAGGTAAAAGCCTTCTGTTACCATGTGATGCAACTCACTGACCATTATCTGATGACCTGGTCAAGGAGGAAAAAATATAGGACCTCAAGGTGAGAATCCTAGACTAAAGTGGCCAGAGAGGCTCACAGGTAAATTCCATTCTCTGAAAATGTCAATTTATACAATATAGAGAAAAACTGTTCCACTTAAAAAAATGGGTTGGAAAGATTATTAATGAGATGATTAATTTGAATAAAATCAGTAAACACATTTGCCATCTCATTATGAGATTAAAACTATTTTCATGGGAAGAAAAATAAGTACTAAAATGATGCTCAAGAAATTGTTTTCATGGTTGAAATTGAGGAAGAAGACAGCAGGGTCAGCTGAGACTAACAGTAATTTGTATCCAACCCTGTACCGAAGAGAGCTAAAAAAACATTATTTTAACTATTGCTCAGTTGAGCTATATTTAAAAAGCTTTTCTTGGGACGATGGTTTGTATTTTTTTGAAAATTTTGGATCTGTCATAAACAATATGACACTGTTTCTTAGTCTGAGATAATCACAGATGAATTTTGTTTAACTTCCTAGCTTCCGTATAGAAAGACATTTTTTTTTTTAATCAGGAACACTCCAAAGCAGGGAATATAATTAAGTAAGGGTTATGTGAATGTGTTTGACCTCCATCCATTCTGCAGAGAGCAGAGCTTCTCTGTGGATGGCCCAGTCTACAGTTGCTGGCTGTGAGTGTCAGGTGCTGGGGAGATTCCAGGAAAAGAAAAGACTGGGCAGATTCCATGATCTGAGATATTTGAAAGTTCCTACTTGGGCTGAAACTTGTCTATTCTTTTTACCTGAATCACTATCAATAACCCAAGGGCCCCCAAGCACAGTAACAGAACTCTGCAATTGGGTGGTGCTAATTGGTTCATTTGAAATGGGTCAAGCACTAATTATCAGTATTCTGGATCCAGAGCTGCTCTTCTCTAAGGGAGAACTCTCATTATAAATGCATTTTCCTTTATGCTTATTTTGCTTGGATAAGGACAAATGTGTTATTTTCTAAGATGGTGTTATTGCTATTATCATTACAATAGTTTTTCTGCATTCATTATGCAGCATTATAAATTCCATTGCCTGTGGAGCACAAGGTGAAAGCTAAGGCAATATTAAAATGGGAGTTTCAATATGTACAAATTTTATGTGTCAATTAAAAAAATGAGAGCCTTTAGCTTATTTCATTCAGATTATTTCAATGTTTTTAATTGATCATCTTCTCTTTTTTTAAAAATATTTCTCATTTCCCATTTCTGTTTGGGTTTTCTCTCCTCACATGAGGTCAGTGACATTATATCACTCTATCCAAGAATTATTAATTGAGCACATTCTCTGTCTAACTTTACACAGATGGTGCAACAGATAGTTGGAGGTAGGAGACCTAAATGTATGAAGAATGAAGCATGGAGTAAGGTATCCAGGCTAAGTAGTGGTATGAGATTTGTTTCGAGGTAGTTTTGCCAGGTGTCCAATGACTGCAGGGAAGTAAGAAATTTTCTAAGTCATAAACTCAGTTCTGTGGTGCAGTATATATTCAAACTCATGGATAAGTTATCTTTGACAACCTCAGTCCCAAACAAGCAGAATACATTTAATTAGATACATGTGAAATTTATAAAATTTGATTGGTAGTCTTTTCGCATTGCTGATGAGGAGACTCATGTTTGGAGTAGTGAGCAGAAGCTCAATAGTGACACTTTTATCTTATCTTTTCTTTGATGTCTTGGAAAGCTTGTGGGCTAGAAGTGACCCCCACAAAGCCCTGCCCATGGAGGTCACATTCATTCACTCACCTCTACAGGATTTATAAACTTCCCCTTTGGTTCTCAACAGCTCTGTTTTGGAGGATGAAAGCAAGACAGGTGATCTTACTCTCAAATAGTGCTGTAATTCATGCCAAAGGTGGTCGCTGCCCTTAGAATCTGGAGACAAATCACCCTTGGAGATAATTTGTAAGTAGATAACTCCAAAGACAAGGTAAGTTTAAAAAATATTACCAGAGAGGCTAAAATGGCTTATAGAGGCCATGATTTGTTTTGTATATTTTTTTTTCCAAGTAAATTTGTCACAATAGAAGGATGGAAAGGTCTGCACAGAACCTGGAAAAAGGGCAAATGATTAGAATTTGTCTGTTGGTCCCTTCCAGTGTTTGTATAAAGAGAGTTTTGAGACTGATGACTAGAACTCTCCCTGGTTAGAAATATTTCTAAGGTGGAAGAGAACAACTCTTCAGGCAGTTAACATTTTCTGGAAGTATCACTTGGGAACACTCAATGTCCCTTTCTCTAACTCTGTGGCTATCAAGTAAGAGAGGATCCTTAAAGCCATGCCTGTATAGGCCCATGTACCCCAAAGGACTGCTCGATGTTGTGTGTCCTACCCTATCTGTCTCCTGTCATAGATGCATGCATTCATGTCTTGAAATGACAGCCTATAGCCTTATTATCCCAAGTGAACTTTCTAAACTAATTTAAATATTGCACAAATATTTTATAATTAATGTCATTATTATAACAATACAAAGCTAAAGAAACAATCCTTGGATTTACAGTGGCTCCCACCTAGAAGCCAACTCCCAGGTGTGTGTGTGGGAGATGCTTTTGCTTCCTGTTTCTTGAAAGAAGTGGCAATGATAGGAAGAAAACTGTACCCCTTCCTCCCTCCCGGGCACTTGTTTAGACTCTGTCACTCCTTACACCATCAGTTTGGGGGTCCACTGGCTCTGTCCTTTAGGGCTTTGCTCCTGAATCTAGACCCTTCCTGGTATTCATTAAAACAAATAAAAATGTTCTCTTTTTATCTTCTACTCCCTCTAGGTCTAATTCCACTCAGGCACTTCCTTCCAGAGCACACACACAAAAATGAACATGAATTATTTGGAGAAGTTTTGGAGGGCTGTCTTCTTCCTGAAGGATGGAGAAGGTTCTTCTTTTGAATTATAAAACCCGGGTAAACCTCACCGCTGAATGCTCTGGGGATATCCTAGAGAAATGGTTCTCACCTCTAGCCAAAAAATAACAAAATAAAAAATTTTCACATCCCAAGAAGGACTCTAATGAAGAAAAGTGTATCCTAGACTGTTTTCTGAGCCCAAAACAATCAGATTTTTTTTCTTTTCTTTTCTTAACTATCTAGATTACTGTATTTGAATACTTGGATAAGACCAGGAAGATGGTAGCAAGGAGCAATCAAAGACCATAATCCTCCCCACACCCAGTGTTCTATGTCCTGCAGATTGTTAAAAGCAGTGAGTGAGTTAGGGAAAGATGCTTCAGCTCCCAAAGGGAGAACAATCAATAAAACCCAGCAAACTTTGCAGGCAATCTTGTGAAAGGTCACTTTTAATCATCTTGAATTTGTTGATCGATTTTACTCATGAGGCACATTTAAAACATCTGTTAGGCATCAGATTTATAAACAAACATGTAGCAAAAGAGAAATCACAAACCTGCTTGATGCTTCCCCTTGTTCTTTCCTTCAGGTGCGTGCAGACAGAAGAGAAATGATGATAAACCGGTGAATACATTTACAGCACTTGATAATGGCCAAATTGGAGACTGGGGAATCAAGTACTTTCAGTAGCCCTTTTCAAGTACAAGCCACAAAGGCATTCACTTATAATAAATATACTCAACTTTCCAACATATGTTCTTTGTGGTACAGATCTGAGATAGCACATTTACTTAGCAAATCCAATACTGCCCACATATAGCCCAAAGCTCTTCATTAACCAAGGTTATTCATGGGTAAGAAAAAGTGGTTCTGATCCGACTGGCATTAGAAGGTTGCAAGTTACAAAGGAGCTCCAGTCTCTGTGCCTTAGGGACACGTTTGAGTTCTAAATTTGGATTCATTAATCAGTAACTGTGGCCTTTTACTTCAGCCACTTGTTGAGGTAGATTTTTTTTTCTATAGTATAAAATATGAATTTGCTTGGAATAAATAAGATACATAAAAAAATGTATTAGAGTGTCGGGCATGGTGGCACACACCTGTAATCCCTGCAGCTCAGGAGGCTGAGGCAGGAGGATCGTGAGATCAAAGCCAGCCTCAGCAAAAGTGAGGCACTAAGCAACCAGTGAGACCCTGTCTTCTAAAATAAAATACAAAAAGGGCTGGGGATGTGGCTCAGTGATTGAGTGCCCTTGAGTTCTATTCCCAGTTCCACAAAACAAAACAACAAAACAAAACAAAACATTAGAACTCTTTTAGTCTACTGTTGAGTAGCATTTTAAATAATTCATGGGAGCAAATTCAGGTCTAGGCAGCACGGTGCAGAGTCACCACTCCTAGCAAATGAGCCTTGGGCCTCTGGTAGGCACCTCTCTTCCCTGGGGGTCTTCGTATTTGTCATGACGGATGGGAAGGCCTTATGTTAGAATCTAACTTCTGACTTCTTAAGGAAACTTGTGGCATCCCTAGAGTTTGATAATTCCTTATAGCTTCATAGAATATGTCTGACTCATCCTCTAAAATAGCACATTTACCCACGTTTCACCCTTTGCACAGCTTTTGCTCACTCTGAGAAGAAAAATCAAGGCAAATCTTTCCTTCTATAAATCCTTCTGTCTGAACAACACTTTGAAGTAGCAACTCAGATCTCTAAGGTGTACATAAGAGACATCCAGGCCAGAAAAAGAGAGAGTAGGAAACTGCTGGTTTGTACCCCTGACAGAATTGAGTGGGTGCGGCATGTCCCTGCTGCCTGCCTCTCTCCCTGACACCTCTGTTTCTTAGACTCTTTCATCCTACTCCTTGGGAGGAGCTTGTGGAGTCACAACGTCCCACTGTATTTCTAAAACTGTGGGGAAGCAGAGCATGGGGCTGCTGATTTTCAGTGATAACTACCATTGCTGCTGCTGCTGGTGATGATGATGTTAGTAATGTGTTCTTTCCCCTGACTTCTCATTTGAAATTGCAGCCCCTGATACTCCCTAAATTCCTTATTTTTCTTTCCTCCTTAGCACTTTTTGTTATCTAACATGTTTTATATTTTACTTTTTAAATTTATTTCCAGTATCCATTGTATATAGACTTCCTAAGCCCTGAGGTTCAATCATGTTTGTTTTTCTCTCCAACTCCCCAGTGCCTAGAACAGTGCCTGGCACCCAACAGGTGTTCAGGGAATGCTTGTTGAATGGATACATAGACATACTATGTTTCTCTCCAGAAGTTCTTAGCTGCTGATAAAGGAAGGGCACTATAGAAATAACAAAAGCTTTGCTGTTTTTCTTACAACATTACTCTGCATTCAACAAGCCAGCTAATTATAAATGTAAAAATATCCCTCTAAGTCATTGTAAATTATTCTTCTCAAGAACCTAGAAGCCTGACTAGGTTTTCTTTCTAAAGCAAAGGTTCTGAATACATTAAAATTGTGGGCAAGCTTTTGACTTTTTTTTTGTGCAATGAATATTATTCTTGGGGAGTAGCCCTTAAGTTCCATCACAACACCAATTGAAAGAACAACAATAACATCAATAGCGAGAACCATGAGAACAAGGAAGTATCACTGGAAAGAGAGATGTTCAGATACCCAGGTTTCTATAAACTGCACTAGAGACTGCTGGCATTCAGGACATATAAATGCTCTTCAGTAAATGGGTTGAGATTCAGAGGCCAATGAGGTTGCAGGGAAAGGTGAATGAGGACATGGGCTGAGGGGCACAACAGGACAGAGGGGAAGCAGGCACAGATGTCGATCCTTCTCTACCTCCACTCCCATTTTAAACAGAAAATATCAGAGGAAAAGAAAAAAATGAGGAGTAAAATAATAACTGATGCAGCCTGGGTTTTCTAGGCTTCTGAATGACTTTTAATCCCAAACTGCAGTAAGTGGGATAGTCACATATGGCAACAGACCACTCTCTTCTGTTATTTGAGAACCCTTTATCAGTTTTCCTACTAACCTTATTCTTTTATCTTTATCTAGAATCTTTAAGAAGATAAGAAATATAATGTCTATATAATTCCCATTTTTACTCATATTCCAAGGAATAGATGACACAAGAATTGCGTTCCTTTTTTTTTTTTTGAATTTCTATACCAACAGCTTAAAAGGATCTACTATTTAATAAAAGGACTTCAACTAAATTTCAAGATCTAAATGAAGAAAGGAGTCTCATCTGCACATTCACTCAACAGCATCCAGGCTTCTGTCCTTGATACGGTTCCATCCTTTCTAAAATCCTGAGGCAGTGTGGGAAGGAAGGGTGGGTGGGGGTGTTTCTATGACTATCTCTGTCCTGATGGTTTTAGCTACTGACCTCTAGGATATTATGTGTTCCATTAGCACTTAGGAACCACCTTGACAGCTCTTGTCCTTTTCTTTGTGGGTAGGAAAATTGAGGCCCAGAGCAAGACAGGAAAGTCACTTAACAAATCCTGTTAGTTAATGATTGGGTTGATGCACCCCAACACTAAGCATGGTGCTGCCTCCACACAGCAGCCATGCCCAGAGGCAAGTCATGAAGATTTCTGCTGCCTCTCTCCCTTCCCAATCAATAAGAACATGGCCTTTCTGAGTCACAGTGGTGAGCCCCTGGAATCCCATGAAGCCATTGAGACTAAGGTTTTGTCGGGCTATGAAGGTAAATGGCTAGTGTCATAAAACACTAAGCCAGATGAACAATCTACTACCTTTGGAACAATCTGAAGGACTGACACCTTGGATCAAGCTGAGGGACTCACAGGGAGTCTTTGTCAGGACTTACTTGCTTTGGTGCTTCAGTGAGGGCTTCTTTAATTAGATGGCAATTATGATTTAATATGTGCTCTGTGAGCTGAACTGGAGTTTAGGATTCTAGGACTGAGGACTTTTTAAAATTAAAGATCCTCGTGGTAATCCTTAATTCTGCTCAAATGTCTCAGGTTCTTTCCTTTTTCTAGGTACATGGTAGGGTTATACTTTCCCAAACCTTTGAGTTTTGGCATGACTGGATGATTGGCTCTGGCCCATGAAATTGGAATGGCAGTAATAGTATGACTTTAAAATCTTGAATGTTAGTTCCAAATTTTAATCTGATTGGTCCCATTGCCTCACTTGAAATTTCTAATTCTATTGGACTTCTTCTCATTCCTTTGTTTTTTCCCTTGCTGATATTAGTTTGATCTGTAACTGAAAGCTCACAAACCACCCTGTAAGTGGATCCAGATGAGCAATGACTTTGACAGACTTAAATATGTGGCGATATATTGCTCTCAAGGCACTCCCCTCCTGAAGACAAGTGATGAGGAGAAGATAAGTAATTTGCTTTCAGGGACTGTGATGCTCTCCTTTAGGGTTCTGGTGGACTTTATGAGATGAAAAAGCATGAAATAGCAGAAAGAAGTCTATATAAATGTTTACATTCCTTTAATCTTTAATCTTGGCCTGTGCATGTGAGGAATGATACTGATTCCATACAGTTTTGTGCTTAAGTTGCTAAACAGGTATAAATCTCTTTAAGAGCAATAGAGAATAACAAGCCAAAAATTGACATTCTCTGTGTATAAGGTTTGTTTAACAAACTTGAAAAGACTCAACTAGAGCACCAGCTGTCACATAGATACCTACTTGGTGGGGCTGCAGGTGTGCAAGGCCTTCAAGTGTGGCTTCCAGGTTGCAATGGAAACAGATTTCTCATCAGCTGCATAACTACGCCAAACACACTGCATGTGGCACACGTGGGGACATGAAAAAGAAAACAAAAAAGAGTAGGAAATAGAATGACACAACAGGCAGAATATTAAGTTATGCACATTAAGAATTTTTTATTTGGGACTGGGGTTTTAGCTCCATGGTAGAGAGCTTACCTAGAACGTGTGAGGCACTGGGTTCGAATGTCAGATATATATATATATATATATATATAAAATAAAGGTCCATCAACAAACTAAAAAAAGTTTTTTCTTTGTCATATTTATCCCTAATAAATGCCCAAAGGAAGAAGAAGTCTACTTTGGTATTTTCAGCTGATTGCTGCACAGATTCTGCTACATCAAAATAATTTTCAAAACAACTTGCGTCAAAAAGCAAAAATGTCAAAAAGTATATCATAACTCAGTTTTTGAATTGGTTAGGAAAAAATACTATATTATCCAAAAACAAAATCAGCAATGATTAACTCATTCAATACATACTGATATCCAAGATACTAGTTAGATAAAGTACCTGAGCAGAGATATGCATTCTAGGGAGTGATCTTTGAGCAATATTTGAAAAGATAGAGGCAAAGAATTACCAAAATCCACTATTCAACTAGTGAACTAACTAGTAAACTAATGACCTCCAGGGTATGATAATGATTTCATTAGTGAAGTCCCTGAAGATGAACCATAAAGTAGTTCTATTGCTAAAAATGAAAATAGTGATAACCAGAACAGAGCCAAAACAAGATTGGGAGGGATGTATCTCTAGGAATATAAGTGGAAAGCACCAAAGGGTTTAATATCATGAACTAAGAATATATTTATATCTCTGTGATGTAAAAACATAAGCTCTGTCTACTTCATGCACTCATTCCTGACATTCATAAAATGAGATATTTTCATATGATCCTTACAATCAAAGTGTGGATTAAGATCCCCATTTTGTAGATGAGAACAAAAGTGCTCAGATAAATGAAGAGATTTATACAAGCTTGGTGGGGTTGAGACAACACCCCCTGTTGCCTGGCTCTTGGTGACAGTCTTCCAGTGGGGATTTTACTAAATGCTTGATCACTGTGGTTGAAAGACCTTCTATTTGAACTGTCCATTTGAGAGACTGCCTGAGCTTACTTTCCCATGTAGAATTTGGTAAATTTATCCCTTTGCAATGGCCCTGCAAGCATCTCTAATGATCAAATGTTTGCACTAATCTCCTCAGAGAAAAGTTTTTATTATGATTCATTACTCAAGAGTATTCTATTTTGTGTGGCAAATTCATTTAAATGGGTCATATCCCTGCTATATAACCATCAGTCATGATTTTGAAACCTACAATGAAGGAAAAAAGTGATCTAATTATATTCCCTTTCCTGAGCAGCATATCATTGAATAAAAGTAAGCTGAATAAAAAGTCAAAAATTGGCGCAACTATTTTGAAAAACTGTCTGGAAGATCTGTTAAAGTTGAATATATACAGTTCCTATGATACAGTTATTCATTCCTAGGTAAATACCTAACAGAAATGTTTATATATATATTCTCCAAAAGATATGCACTAATTTCTTCATAAACTAAAGCTGAAAATGCCTTAGATATCCATCAACAGTAGCAAAAGCAGGAAATTCGTGGTATGGTCATGCAATTGAACACTACATGGTAATAGTTTACTCTAACTATGGTCAACAATATGGGTGAACGTCATATGAATAATGCTGAGTGAAAGAAACAAGACAGAAATGAATACTTTAACATTACGTACAAAAACTAGGGAAAACTAATCTATCCTTAGAAGGGGGCCCAGTGGCTACCCTGGTGCAACAGTGACTGAGAAAGGGCACACAGGAGGTCATGCTCTGCTTATCTGAGTGTTAGTGATGCAGGGTGCTGAGTTCTTGTAGGAAACGTGGTCTTTTCTGCATGCACATTATACTTCAGTAAAATGCTCAGGAAATGACATGAAAAATTAGAAAAATATATAGTAGAACCTGAGGGACTTTTTTATGTTTCCAAGAAAGGTTTTTATATTTTCAATCAGGATTCCTTGCCTGAAGCTTCATTCTCATGGCTCATGTTGATTTAACCAATAAATCTATGGAAATTTGTGGTAAGCATCTTGACATCTTATAGACAATAAAGCAATTACTAGCCTATCAACTTGAAATGATAGTGTTTGAAACCACATATACAATTTTTAGGGTGACTAGAATAATCAATGAAAATCCATTGACTTTTGTTATTGCAGCTTCTGTAGTGGTGGGGCCTAGAGATCCTCTGATGCTGTCAGGATATGGTTGGCTGCTTTAGTTAAATAATTTCTGTAGCAGGTATGATATATATGTGAGCTCTTGATACCCTAAAAGCAGAGCTCATGTAGAACTACATGTATACAGCAGGGTCTGTGCATTATCTGAAACCAGTGGAAAAAAAAATCCAAAGCAACAATACAACAAAAAATGGGACGAGGCACTATCTGTTAATGTTATAGAGAATTGGGGCCAAAAGAGGCTATGCTGAGAAAATTGAAGACTTTTTTTCTTTTCTTTTCTTTCTTTCTTTTTACAATAGAACCTGGCTTCTTGCTCTTTTTAATAAAATTGATCTCAACAGCTAAGCTCTTTTTCCCTTCATTACTGTTCTCGTAAAAATGCCTTGTAAATTAGGAGTACAGAAGGGGCAAGTGGCATCTATTCCAGGGATGATATTAGTCAACGGTTAAAAAGGCAGAGAGAAGTGTAACTCCATTGCTCTAAGAATTCTTAATAACTATGTCCTGCCCTCCATCTCAGCTGATTGCTTCTAGTAGCTGAAATTCAAGTCCACATTTGCAGGATCCAGTACCTAATGTTCCTACATTTTAAAACCCAAATCACATAGTGGTTGGCAAGAGAAAAACAGCACTTTCCCATGGCTGATTTACATGGTGTATCTACTCCAAAGGATAAGTTAACAAGAAGAAAAGTAAGAACCAAATTTGCTAGTTATCAAGTGAAGGTGGTGCTCTAGGTAGCTAAAAAAGTTTGAACTTTTTTTCTGTGATCAAAAGTACTATGTAATATAATTCAGCTTTGGAAGTATTTAGTTGCTCTATCTGAAGTAGCACACCTATGGCAAGCTTGACCATTTCTGGAAACAGTTCAGAAGGTTTCAGCTGACCATACAAAGATATATTAGTATGGAAGTTATTTATTTTCTTTTTGGTAATGGGGGTTGAACCCAGGGGCACTTAACCACTGAGACACACCCCCAGCCCTTTTTTATATATTTTTTTTTTATTTAGAGACAGGATCTTGCTAAATTACTTAGGGCCTCACTAAATTGCTGAGGCTGGCTTTGCACTCACGATCCTCCTGCCTCCGTCTCCTAAGATGCTGGGATTACAGGTATGTACCACCAAGCCCGGCTGTCATTTCTATTTTTAAGAATCCCTTTTCTTTTTTTAAAAAATTTTTAGTTGTAGATGAACACAATACCTTTATTGTATTTATTTATTTTTATGTGGTGCTGAGGATTGAACCCAGTGCCTCATATGTGCTAGGCAAGTGCTCTACCACTGAGCTACAAACCCAGCCCAAGAATCTCTATTCTGAAGGATTATGCTCATACTATTATTTCTTTTTTTTTATTGTTGGTCGTTCAAAACCTCACACAGTTCTTAATACATCATATTTCACAGTTTGATTCAAGCGGGTTATGAACTCCCAACTTTACCCTGTATACAGATTGCTGTATCACATCAGTTACCCTTCCATTGATTGACATATTGCTTTTCTAGTGTCTGATGTATTCTGCTGTCAGTCCTATTCTCTACTATCCCCCCTCCCCTCCCCTCCCCTCCCCTTTTCTCTCTCTACCCCTTCTACTGTAAATCATTTCTTCCATTTGTATTATCTTGTCTTACCCCTCCATTACATAGTTCTTGATATATCATATTTCACATTTTGATTCAAGTGGGTTATGCACTCCCATTTTACCCCGTATACAGATGTTCATAGCAGCACAATTCACAATAGCAAGACTGTGGAACCAACCTAGATGCCCTTCAATAGACGAATGGATAAAAAAAATGTGGCATTTATACACAATGGAGTATTACTCTGCATTAAGAAATGACAAAATCATAGAATTTGGAGGGAAATGGATGGCATTAGAGCAGATTATGCTAAGCGAAGCTAGCCAAGCCCTAAAAAACAAATGCCAAATGTCTTCTTTGATATAAGGAGAGTAATTAAGAACAGACTAGGGAAGAAGAGCACGAGAAGAAGACCATCATACTATTATTTCTTGATTTTTCAGTTTTAGGCATCAATTAACTTCCTATCATGAAAGATAATAACATGGCCCACTTATATGCCCTCTTCCCCTCCTCTCATCCTTACAACAATTTTAGTTATTAGTGTTTTCATTATTGTAAGCATGTAACTACTCTTCCTAGTTTAGCAATGTAACAGACTATAAATAATCATTCTTTTCTCCTTAATTTTTTTTGTTTTTCTTGAGTTATCACTGCCCTATTTTAGTTTATTGATTTGATTTTATGTAACTATTATGAAGACATTCCTGCTGTTTCCTACAGAACTATAAAATTTCTCACGTCAAATGCGTGGTGGAATCTGTCAGTTCTGTTTTTGTGTGTCCTTGAAGATCTTTCTCCTGGATCACTCAGCCTCCTGCTCACTCTGCTATCCAGCCTGCTGTGCCTGTTGCCATGGGGGGGCTTCCCTTCCTTATCGCTGTAGAGATGGGACTCTTATTCCCTGAATCTCATGTTTCTTCCTCTCTTGGTTCATCTTCTTCTGGAAGGACAGTCCTATCCAGGTAGTTTCTTGGGTAAGGAAAAATAGTAGGTAAGTTTTTGAGATCTTTATGTCTAAAAATGCTTTTGTGCTACTGTTGTTCTCCATGACTGGTTTGGCTGGGGATAGAATTCTAGGTTGGAAGTAATCTTCCTCCATAATTTTGGATGTATTATTCCACTGTCTTCTAATTTTAGAGTTACTAATGAGATAGATATTCAATGCCATGCTGATTCTTGTTCCTGTGGATATGTCCTGCTCAGAAATCATTTAGGATCTTCTTTGTTGGAAGTGTTCTGATATCTCATTATGATAATCTTGGTATGAAGTTTTTGGTTTACTGTGCTGGGCATTTTGTATACTCTTTTATGGTGGCCACTTCTGACACCCAGTTCTGGAGAATAATGTAATATTTATCTGGTAAAATCTCCCCTCTTCAGTTTTCCTGTACTCTATTTAAGGTGCCCTCTTGGAGATTTTCACAATCTTATCTTCCCTATTATTTTTCTCTGCTATCATTTTTTTTTAACATATGGAATTTTTTCCTGATTCTGTTCTTATTTATGGTCAAAGCACTAAAAAAGATGTATTGTCTGTATAAGTGGCTTGAGCTTATGGACTGGCAGCCTTACTTTAGGATAACTTGGTAAAGATCAAGTTATGCCATTAGAGGAAGCCAGTTTATATATATATATATATATATATATATATATTTCTTTTAGGACAGTTAGCATCCTCAAAAGCAACATTTTTTTAGTTGACTCCTTTAAGGAAATGAATTCTATTAGCATTGATTTCTCAAACTTTTATTCAATTCCTTTGCTTCTGTTTCTAGGAAAGTGTCTTCTCTGTACCCTGAATTGGTCCATTTTCTACAGAGGCAAAACTCTGACATGGGTTGGGAGAGTCTTTAAATGTTAATCCCAAAGCTCAAAAATGCCTATATGAAGGTGCAAGGTTGTTTTTTCAAAAGAGTAATGGATTTGGATTCAGACAGCAAGAATTTTGGTCCTAGATTTTCCTAGGCTTATCTTGAGGATCAAGTAACATTGTGTATTAGAAGCACTCTGCAAACTAAAAAGCACTTCATGAGTCTTAGGCATTATTAATAAAAGTTGTGACATTTGGGCAGGTATTCAAAACGTTACTGAGAGCTGATTTCTTTTCCCAGACTGCTCCACTTGAAATGAAAAGTTAATTTAAATGAATCATGCAAAGATATTGACACAGCTAAATTTGCTGCAAACTTCTGGGGTTTTAAGCTTTCCCCTAAAACCCTGAAATGCTGGTTAATTTAGTTCTATTACCAACCAAATGACAAAGCAATCTGGGCATCTCACTTGCCCTTGTAGGATGAGAGTGGCTCTGGCTTAAAACAAATGAGATTGCTTTGGGTCTTGATGCTTTGTATGTTCAGTAAATCAAGTCAGGTTTATTGGGTAAGAAAATGAATGATCAGCAAATGAGGCTTGCTTTTCAATCTAGTGCATCCTTAAAAATAAATTTCTATAAGATATAATCAAGGCCTAAAGCCCTGAATTCTGTCCAAAAACTACATCAAGGAGAAGCAATGAATTAATAGTTATATTATTCCTACGTATAATAAATAAATAAGTTGCATTTGAATTAGCAAGCAGTTACTTTTTAAATTAGTAAATTCTATTTTGATTTATGAAACTATGATTATATTTTAAAGGCGTTCTTCAACACTTCAAGTACTGTATTTTCTATTAGTTTCTGCTTAAGAACAATATATACTTTGGAAATTTAAGTAAAAAAAATTCATGATTTTGCTCTATTTTTACCTCAATTTTTACAAGTTTAATTGCTGATTGTGATACATGTTATATAACCAAGTTCCATAAAGTAAAATTCTAAGCCTCCAAGCAAATCTGTTCAATCAGCATCTTCCCCACCTTTTATAGGTTACCTGTGCTGCAGGCCTTGCCTTAGTTAGGCTGTGGACATATAAATGCCTTGCTCCAGTGATTTAATGCAGGAAAATAGCAATTTATTTTTAAGTTCATTTGGAAATTGTTTTTGCACAGTTTAGTAGTTGATAATGACAAGTCAGATCAGAAAAGTTCCTGCTGTTTTTCTCCACATATGTATTATGTAATATGGTATCCAATAGCCACTTAAAGCTATTGAGCACTTGAGAAGTATCTAGTACTACAAAGGAATGGATTTTTTATTTTAATTAATTTATATTTAAGTAGCTACATGGAGTCTGTGGTTATTGTATTGGGCAGAATAGCCCTATAGCATCACAATTGATATATGCAGAGAAATTTCTACAACGGCTCACTTGCTAACAGAACAGTCGATATTCTAAGAGGTTTTAAGATGTAAGAGGTAAGATGTGTTATTGGCTCCTTACAAGGACAGGGTTTGGTGCCCAGATGGAAGCAAGAAACCTATCAAATAACCTTTCACTCACAGGTTGGAAACATTTTTCTAGAGGGAAGGGATATTAAAGAGAATAATATGTAAAGAGAAGATTTTATTAGAAGTGTGGCTAAGTGCTAAAGGATGAAAGGCTTGGAGTTGGGGGCTGGGTGTTTTATGTGTGGCCTCCTTTCATTCTGCTGATCTTTGTTTGGCATCAGCTCATACATTTTTAGTATTTAGGGTATCTTTTCCTTTAAGAAAATTAAGTTTTCTTTCTCTTTTGTGCTCTTTTAAAGCTGGAAATTTAAAAAAGTAGACACTCTCAGTGGTTTGTATTAGAAGTCATGTGGAAAGGTCCATTTTTTTTTGAGTCAATAGTTGCAGAATAGGCCGATTTAACAATTAATGTTCTTATTTAGCCATTAGACACGAACAGACCTCTTTCATGGTATAACCGATGTTCTCCCCCCACCCCTTTCCCTAGCTCCTCCTGTACTGGAGGTACTGCAAGGCTAAGGGTTCAAGTGGTTGCTTCCTATTACATGAAGACAAGCCTCCAAGTACCTGGGACTGCCATCCCCAACACCTCCAGTTTACAAGTTCTGGAGCTTAAGTCCCTGGCAGAATGGGGAAAAAACTTTAGATTGTAGAATTATGTTACCTATAATTGAGTACCAACTTCACATTATGAGTCTAGCAAAAAATATATTTTGTGATTCTTAACCTGGTTCTAGGATGGTTCCATACCCAAAAGATATGGAGAGCGAAAGGATAGCTCATTTCTTTTAATGCTAAAGCAAATTCTTGAGTTATCGTAAAGAAAACGAAATGCTTAATAACATCAACATATGATGAGCTTGCCTCAAGTAATATGCTTATTGTTTCATATCCTCCATCATGGATGTAACTCATAATCCCACCAGCTCTTAAAATAAGATAACTCTTTCAAGGGATTGCCCTAGACAATATTAAAAGCAATTTCACGGGCACTATGCTTTGACACTCTAAACACATCTGTTGTTCTTCAGCCCGGGCATACATCTGGCTGGAGGAAGCTAACTGTCACGCAGGGAACAAGGCCATGTTCTGTTTCATTACTTAATGATCAGTTATGTTTCACCAATCATTCATAAGACACATTAGATCATTCCAGGAGAAACCAAACTGCTCATTTCTACATGGTCTTGCTGGTAAGGTTAATTAGTCTGGATAATGCTTAGATCATTTGCTGAAAAATATATATTTCTGTTGGGAGAGAGGAAATACCTGCCCAAACCCAAGACTGTTCATTAAGTCCTGACTTTATTTTTTAAAAAGCAGACAAAATAGTAGCTCTACAAAACAAAGAAGCACAGAGATTTGAAAATGACCCATCCAGCATTGATGGAGACAGATGTTGTGGTCTACCTACTGAATTGCCATTTACCTGAATGAGGTTGGCAGCTGGGTTCCTTCTTTTCTCGAAGTGTTTCTGGCGGTGCTGTTCCTGTACTTTTAATGCAAAACCTGAGCCAAGAATGCCCTGGAACAAAATATAAAAATAGCACTTTTAAAAACAAATTTCAAAAGTACTGTTAAATAATACAAGTATTTAAAAAACTGCTAAAATGAGTCTGAGAAGACAAACAGTGTGTAACCTGTCCAGAATAAACACGTTACTTACTAAAACAAACACTATTTATCTCTATTATAATAGCGTCAGCTAATGGCAAGTTGTTAGGCAACATTGTCAAGAGATATAACAACTTCTGTTCTTTAGCAAATCAACTAGAGTTTGCCTTTTTCTTGTCTTTGCTGATATAGTAATAGGCATCATAAACACAAATATAATTTGCTATTAAATTTTTTTTTTGTGTGTGTGGCCTTCTCTGTGACATCTCTTTGTGTCTAAATTGGAGTGAGTGGTCTTATCTAGTGATAGCATTTTGAGGACATGAATTCTGGATTTTGACTTTGAGAGAATTAAAATCTTACTGCTGTGGATATGGGAGGACTTTATCCATTTGACAAAACTCTGAAGTTATATTTTCTTGATCCATGAAATGGAGGAGGGCGTGTTTCAAGTCTGTCCTAGTTACAATCCTTCACGATGCTATAATTTTACAAATAAAGTAAAAGAGAGTGGAAAATTATCCAGATGAGACAAATAGGCACTCAGTTTTGAAGAACGAGGTTTTCCATTTTGCCTGTCTGTATGATACAGATAGGAGCATGGGTCATTGCAAAGCATACTCCTATCTTCCTGTTTTCATCTCACACTATTAGAATTCCTTACCTTTTGGTTTTGGCTCACCTATTCAGATTTTGGGGTTAGTAAGATTAGCATGTTTATGTTAGTTTTTGGCTAGTTTTCTTTCTGTCTGCTTATCATCTTGATCTGCCAAAATCCTGGTTCTTTGATGTTCCCCTCTCCTTTCAGTTTGCTTTGGTCTAACATTTGTGAAATCAGGATGCTTTTCGTCTCAGCCTTGCATTGGCTTTCAGAGATTGCTACATTCAGTCTCTGGGCTTTGTCTATACTCTCAACTTTATTGGTATGAGACTTGGAACTCCACTGCTTTCAAGTTTGTGGATTTTATTTGCTAGCTATAAATTATTAGCTTTTTATTAAACTTCAAGGAGTCTAACCCTTAGGTTAGAGATGGACATCTTAGAAGCACTAAGTCATTATTTGCCATAGGTAAGGAATGGTTGCTTTCCTTTTCTTTATGTTTTTTTAAGTAGTTCAAGGATGATACAGGCTGTCTGGAGAGGTGGTGGGTTTATTTCATCTCTTGGAGGTGTTAGTTAAGTTTTGACTGGGTGACAGTTTGGCTAAGATATTTTTGGGTTCTAGATAGCTTTTAACCTTCCTCTTATCTTGAGATTCCACAATTCTGAGTACATCTGTGACAATAACCAGACAATCAGTAATGCAATCATGTTTAAAATACACAATTATAAAATAATACTATTTGCTACTAATGAGCAATGACCTACTCCATTACTAATTAGATAAATGACTGTCCCATGTAATGAGCAATGACATCATAGGTTCTGCTTTCCATCTCTTTTTTTCAGTGCATGCCTCATGCTGTCTAAGATTTCCATCTCATACAGGTTGTGATTATACAAACTAAGCTTTAGAATAACTTGGTTTCTGTGATCTGGTTTGCAGATTTAAACAATATTTACCTCCACTTGGAGGTTATACAAATGGCTTTCCATTTCCAAATCCAGATCAACTCTAGTCATTTGTAATTCCTAATTTTTTGTTATGTAAAGTTATTTAGGAAAAATTGATTTATTTTCCTCCTAATGTTACTCTCCATGCAGTAAAAACATATAAGAGAATATAAAACCTCAAAATTTATAGCACTTATTTATAATATGTATTAGATGTATGTACATTATATATATATATATTGTATATAACCAATTCTTATGGAACATAAGATTTTGTAGAAGTTGAATTAACAGCCATAACTGCCAGTTTTGAGCACTTGTGTAGTTATGAGTTTAGAAAATGAAGTCAGGCCTTATATGGCACAACTTAAGTATCTACCAAACAGACTAAAATTTGCTGAAAGTCATGTTGGCTTTGCTTAGAAACCTATATTAGTAGGTGGCAACTGTTTGCTACATATCTCTTGCGTCAGATTGTACATTACAGCAGTTATTAAACCAGGTCTGCTCACTGTCTCACTGTGGCTCCATTCCAACTTTCTTCCACTTCTCTCTAAGTATACAGCTCAGTGCACCTAAATAGAAGTCTGCTAAGTGAAGTCTGTTATGATACACACACACACACACACACACACGCACACACACGACATGGCTTAATCTTTCAACATATGTGCTATCCCTTCAAATACTGACACCAATAATACAGATTCTTAGAAACTGAGTTTTGTTCTCATTCATTTTCTAGGAAAACAAGGCTTAATTTTTTAGGTTTTAAGTTTTAGTACTAGTCTGAGTAGTGCTACATAAATACTAAGTAGAAAAAATGTTTTGCTAAACATTTTAAATATTTATCCCTCCTTATCTTCCAGCTTAAATGAACCTAATTTGTATCCCACACTTGGAAAACAACCTCTGCCAAAAGACTTTTTAACAGTTGTTAATATTTTACTATATAATAATTTTATTTGTTGATATTGTTAATGATTATAGAGGTTAATATTTATTTTTTGAAAGGTTAATGTCCTGAGTCAAACAGAACTAGTCCTTGCATTGAACTTATTAGTTGAATGTCTCAAGCAATTCAATCTGCAAAAATTTCTTCATCAGTAAAAAGATACCTGTAGCAGGAGTATTAGTGGGAGGGAGGCAGCACCCCAAAGAGGAGAGAGACCTGCTCATCAGGGTGATGCCAGGATGCAGGATGACCTGTATGACTCTTTGATGTGCAAGACACTCCTTCAGCAATGAAGGTAAGATGGGGACACCCTGTTCTTCAAGTTTACTGGGTGGGAAAAGCCTGAAACTGGAGTGATCACAATCCATCTCTAACTTTCTCAGCAAAATGCCAAAGTGTCCTCCTAAATTTCCATCAGACAACACTGTTGGCTGGCAGGTGCACATAACAAAATGATAACTCAGCACCTCCTGCCAGGTTGCAGTAAAAGATCCATAACAGAGGCAACTTTTCTTGGCGTTGTTAAGAAATGTTCTGTTCTGTGTGAGCAAATTCTTCAGGTTTCCTGTGTTACTTTAATTTGCATATAAAATTGTAATCATTTTACCAGAAACATTCCCAGGAATGGCTAGTCTCTGACCTTTAACCTAAGAGCAACACAGCTTAAACTCCCTGCAACAGTGGGCACGAGGCATTTCACGTTGCTGGAGGCAGCCAGCTTCCAGGTGCAGGATGACCCTAACACTACTTGGCCCCAGGTCTTCACACACTTTGAACTCTTAGGTCTGCTCACTTCTTACAGATATTCTTTTCCTTCCTTTGCTGTTAACCTTTCACCATTTCTCCCCATTGTAGTGTTTGTTCTATCACTTTTCCTCTATATTTGTTGTTTTTAATCCTTAAAGAATCGTGAAACTATATGGGTCATTTTTTAGAATAATGAAGAAGACTGGGTTATGAGTTAGGTCTCAAGTGGCTTTGCTACAAGACAGCAGATACACCCCTGTCTATTTAATTCCATCTGCTGTCTAGGTTAGCTAATGGGAACTGTAAACACAAAAGAAGCAGATATTTGGGGCCATTATTTTAGGAACAAAAATCACAAACTGTGTTTCACTGTTCTTAAGTTATTTTCCTGCAGGAATCTAATTGTTCAGCGAGTCTCTGCCCTGTTCTGGATTGTTCAGACTGCCAGAGGAGTTGGCTTTGGATAAGTGAAAAAAAATTTTTTTTTAAAATTCTCTTTGATGTCATCATCTTGTAGGAAACATGTCTTTTTATATTCATGAAGTAAAGGGAAGTAGCATTTAAGTTTTCTTTATAACAAGCCCTTGACTTACATTATCATATTGGTTGCTTTTTTCCCCTTTTTAAAAACATGTTTTATTTGTTCTTTTTAGTTACACATGACAGTAGAATTTTGACATCATACATACATACATGGAGTATAACTTCCCATTTTTGTGATTGTACATGGTGTGGAGTTACACTGATTGTGTATTCAAATACGAACATAGGAAAGTTATATCTGATTCATTCTACTATCTCATAGTGGTTATTCTTCACAAAATTTCTCTGGGTTCAATGATTCTTCCTCCATTGTATCCATGCAGAAACATATTCAAAGTCACTCTTTGAACTGAATTATGTTCCCCCTAAGTTGATATGTTGGAGTCTTAGTTTCTAAACCTCAGAATATCACCTTATTTGAAGATAGGGACTTTCCTGAGGTAATCAAGTTAAAATAAGGTCATTCAAGTGGTCCCTAATCCAACATGACTGATTATAAGAAGAAGAAATTTAGACCTGGGAGACATAAAGACACAAGAAGAAGATGTCGTCCTCAAGCCAAGGACAGGGTCCTGAAACAGATGCTTCTCTCATGGCTTTCAGAAGGGACTAATCCTTCCAATACCTTGATATTAGGTTTCTATCCTCCAAGAACTGTGAGACAATACATTTCTATTATTTAAGACAACCAGTCTGTGGAAGCTTGTTATAGCAGCCGTAGCAAACCAATAGAGTCATATAGTATGTGACAAAAAATTCAAACTCAGGTCTAATGCCCAAGCATGTGCACAGTCTTTTAAATCTCTTTTCTGTGAGTTTGAGTGTTCTGAGGAAGAACCAGCTGGTCAATATGGAGCTGGGCATTGGCTGTCAGAAGGACCAAGAATGCCCTTTGCATTTATTAACAGGAAAGGGAGGATCCCCATGAAATACACGGTGGAGCTGGAAAGATCCCTCTGACCCACTCCCTTGGCTTTCTTTGGAGGGTTGCTCTCAAGTTTCTCCTTGGCAGAGACGGTGCAATGGCATTTGTGTGTGTCTGGAGGACACAACTATGTTATTCAGGTACACCTGTGACTACCACCTCAACACTCCATTATGCTGACTGCCTCCCCCACCTCCCAGGCAGAGGGGACAAAAGTTAGAACTTGGAAACAGGAACTATAATATTTCCTTCAACTGCCAGCAAAGAAACAAGAGGACAAAATGATCAGAAAAATAAACTTCATTCATTAAGTAGAGAATAATCAGAAACTTGTGGGAAGAAAAATGTGTTCTTCATTCTGATAAGATGCAGAAACAGCTCATTAAGAAAATCAATGACAGTGACACAAAGAATAAATCACTGGACACATTTAAAACCCTTTGAGATCATATGTTTTTCATTCAAATGAATCTCCACTTGTGCATAGCCGTCTCTTTAGTAGCACATGTTATAAAACCAAATCAAAACAATCAGTTTAAAATGAAGACATCTTTAAATCTTCACAAATATTTAAAATGTTTCGGGGGCATGCTGATTGAAAAGGTGATGCCATCTGAATTATTATTTGATCCTAAAGACCTATCTGGTATTAATGTCTAAGTGCTTCTGAGGGAAGACCATATTTTATAAATTATCCACCTAGATATATTTAGAAAAGTCAACATTATATTAGAAAAATTAAATTTGTCAGTGACATAGATATGTTCCCAAGCATACCAATGTGTGAAAGCTGACTCCACTAAACCTCTAAGACCTAATTGAAGCTGCTTTATTGATGCAAAGATACTCACGGCAGGAAGTGCAAAGAAAGAAATGCCAAGGAGTGCAAAGCCCGCGGAAAGCAATCTTCCCAGCCAAGTTAGGGGAGTTTTGTCTCCATAGCCAATAGTGGTCAATGTAATCTAAAAACAAAATAAACAGAACTTTCAGCTTAAGTACTTGAGAGGGAAGTTAGGACCCATGAACAGGAGACAAAGCAACATTTCCACTAAATCATTACTCAACAAGTCTTGTTGGCGCATTTTATTACTGTGCTTTAATTTTCCATGACGCATAACAGAACTTTGCTTTGTTTAAGGAAAGGAATAACCTACATAGTTGTTCCTCCCGTATAACAGTTTTCCATCTTTTCCAAGTGTATTCAGGGAAAGGTTATTTAAGTAAGCAGATAATCATCAGTGATACAGAAATGATAGCACTGTAGATTTAGGACTGGATCAGAACCCCAAACAATAATTTATGTTAATTAAGACTGTCCATCCATTACCTTGGCAGGCACTTCCTGAAGGCTTGGTGTATGCAAGGTACATGTCATGATTTGTAGTGGAACAAATATGAGAGGTACACAGTTCTTGGCCTAAGATATTAAAGGAGGTGTGTGTCACACACAAATAATTAAAACACAAAAATAGGGCAAAGCAGGGATGGTGATGGAGGCTCAAATAAACTGCCGTGGGATTTTAAGAACAATTGATTGTTACCGGCGTGGAGGTTAAATAGGTTTTACTGGGGAGATGTCGATCATAGCTAGGTTTTGAAGGAGGGGTAATATTTTGAAAGACAGAAATGATCAAGAGTGGCCTCTGGGGAGAGGCCAGCGGCACAGCGGTGAGAACATACAGGACATTCTGAAAAGTATAAGTGGTTCTCTGGGCTCGGGCATGGTGGATTTGAAAAGGGTTAGTGACTTCCTCAGTTTCTTCCATTACTGTTTTATAGTTTTCAGTGTATAGGTCTTTCACCTTCTTATTCAAAAATTCCAAGTTTTTATTTCATTTTTTTTTGGTGGCTATTGCAAAAATGGGATCATTCTCCTGATTTCTTTTTCAGAAAGTTTGTTGTAAACATATAGAAGCTAACAACAGAAGGACTGTGGGGTGTGTTTATTTTGTATCCTGCAACTTGACTGAATTTTTCATTGCAACAGGTTGTGTGTGTGTGTGTGTGTGTGTAATCTTTAGAGTTTTTTCCTATGTATAAGTCTATGTACTCCGTAAACAGTAGTAATTGCACTTTTTCCTTTCCTGTTTGGATGGCTTTTATTTCTTTCTCTTACCCAATTGCAAGGACTTCCAGTGCTATAATAAATAGAAGCGGCAGGAGTGGAGTATCCTTGCTCTATTTTGGATCTTAAAGGAAAGACTTTCAAATTTTCACTGCTGAATATAATGTAAGCTGTGGACTGTCATGTTTGATCTTTATTATATCAAGTTACCTTTCTTCTTTACCTAATTTATTGAGAATTTTTATCATGAAATGATACTGATTTTTTTCAAAGGCTTTTTCTGCATCAAATGAGATGTTGTGAAATAAACTAGGCACAAAAAACCAAATACCACATGGTCTCACTTAAATGTGGAATCTATAACAATTGAACTTAGAAGCAGAGAGTAGAATGGTAGTTACCAGAGGTGTGAGTTGGGGAGAATGGAATGTGGCTTTTTTTTTTCTTTAAAGAGCGATTGCACAATGTTGTGAATATGGCTAATTACAGTGCACAGGATATTTCAAAATTGCTGAGAGTAAATTTCGAAATTCTCACCAAAAATGATTTGAGATGTTTGAGGTGGTAGATACGTGAATTAGCTTGATTATTATATATTATATTCATAAATCATAACATCTCTTGTACCTCATAAATATGTACAATAATAATCCACCAACATATAACAAAAACAAAGAGCATTAGTAGAACAGGGGGTTAAATAGATTTGCTCAAGATTTCTTTTTATTTTGGGTTATCATTCTGGAGATCAAATCCAGGACCTCATACATGCTAACCAAGGTCTTCCACTGAGCCACATCCTCAGCCCCAGGAAGTGTCTTTGAAAATGATAATCAAAGCATGTCTCTCCCATGGTCAATCAGCTCCAGGGGCCCCTATAGCCCTAGAACAAAGTCCCAGCTCCTCTCCAAGGCCTTCAGGGTTTTGCATGATTGGGCCTCTTCCCACTTCTCAGGCATCTTCTTCTATCACTCTCCATCTCATACTGCATCCATTAAGCCTGCCCTGATGCTCATCAGCACACTGATCCTTTGTTTGCCTCTGAGTCTTTGCACCTGCTATTTTCTTTGTGGATTTCTTTTACTCCCAGGTCTCCATTCAGGTAGCTGCTCTACTGTTAGCTCCACAGAAAGACCAACTCTGATTAATGGGGACAGGGGTACAGTTGAATAAGAGGAGTAACTTCTAATGTTTTATAGCACAGGAGAATAACTAGAGCTTTCAATAATCAATTAAATATTTTAAAATATTAGAAAGGATTTAGTATGTTTCCAACACAAAAAAATGATAAGTGTCCATAACAACAGAAATGGCAATTAACCTGCTCTGATTATCATACATTGAGGGTGTGTATGTATGTGCATTTGCTATATGTCAATTAAAAATAAAAACAAATCTAAAAATGACTATCCCTGATCATCTTATTTAAGATTTTTCCCGGCCAATTGTTCCCTAAATTTTTACTCTGTTTATTTTTTAAAGATTTTTTTCTTTTTAAAATTAGTTAATTTATTTTAATTAGGTATATATGACAGCAGAATGCATTTTGATTCATTATACACAATTGCAACACAACTTTACAATTCTAGGGTTGCACATGATGTAGCTTCGTGCCACATGTGCAGTCTTACATGTACCTAGGGTAATGATGTCCATCTCATTCCACCATCTTTCCTGCCACCATGCACCCTCTCTACTTTCCATTCTCTTTGCATTCAAAGTTCCTCCATTTTTCCTATGTCTGCCCCCTCCCTGTTATGGACCAGCATCCATTTATCAGTGAGAACATTTGGCCTTTGGTTTTTTGGGATTGGCTTATTTCACTTAGCATGATATTCTCCAACTCCATCAATTTACTGGCAAATGTCTTAATTTAATTTTCTTTTAATGCTGAGTAATATGCCATTGTGTATATACACCACAGTTTCTTTATCCATTCATCTATTGAAGGGCATCTAAGTTTCTTCCACAGTTTAGCTACTGTGAATAATGCTGCTATAAACATTGATGTGGCTGCATTACTATAGTATGCTGATTTTAAGTCCCTTTGGTATAGACTGAGGAGTGGGATAGCTGGATCAAATGGTGGTTTAATTCCAAGTTTCTGAGGAATCTCCATACTACTTTCCAGATTGGTTGCACCAATTTGCAGTCCTACCAGCAATGTATGAGTGTAACGTTTACCCCACATCCTCACCAACATTTATTGTTCTGTATTTTTAAAAATATTTATTTTTTTAGAAGTAGTTGGACATAATACCTTAATTTCGTTTATTTATTTTTATGTGGTGCTGAGGATCAAACCCAGGGCCTCGCACGTGCTAGACAATTCCTCTACCGCTGAGCCACAATCCCAGCCCTGTTCTGTATTCTTAATAGCTCCCATTCTGACTGGCTTGAGATGAAATTTTAGAGTAGTTTTGATTTGCATTTCTCTAATTACTAGAGATGTTGAACATTTTTTAATATACGTGTTGATCAAATTTTCATCTTAGTCCATTTATTGATTGGGTTTTTTTTTTTTGGTGTTAAGTTTTTTGAGTTCTTTATATATCCTGGAGATTAGTGCTCTGTCTGATGTGTGTGTGTGGCAAAAATTTGCTCCTAAACATGTGAGTTCTCTGTTCACCTCATTGATTGTTTCTTTTGCTGAGAAGAAGCTTTTTAGTTTGAGTCCATCCCATTTATTGATTCTTGATTTTATTTCTTGAGCTTTAGGAGTCTTGTACTCTGTTCATTCTTATTTATAGATGATATCAATATCTTAAATAGTATATATTGATTAAATTTACTTGTTCACTAGTTTCCCTGCTAGAATGTAAAAATCACGTAGGCTGTGGCTGTGTCTTGCTTACTGCTGAATCCAAGCACTGTGACTGGTATACAGTAGTAGTCACTCAATAGATATGCACTGAATGAATTAAAAAACCCTTAGGTGGTGGGTTAAGAATTCTGTTTCCTGTTTTGAAGCAAGGAAATACTTATGAAAGGTTTCTAAGGCAGTGTACATTGAAATTATATTGGTTTTAGAAATTGAAATTTTAGCAGAAAATGTTTAGAATGGATTGGAGCAGGGAGAAATGAGAGGTGGAGAAACCGGTTAAGAGATTGTATGTAAATGAAAAGTAGAGAGAAATGTTTAGGAAGTTCAATAGAAATACGTTTACTGCATGTCTGGGGTAAAGGGAAAGACTAAAAAATGACTTTAATAGTTCAAGTGGCAAGATGTTTTTGGCATAAATAAAACTACAACAATGAAAAAGAGAAGGTTTTAGAGTAAAGGTGAAGAGTTTGTTTTTGCAAATAATGGTTTTTTAAATGTCAGTGTGACGGATGTAGTCAAGTCTAGCAGGAATTTGAGAATGAGAGTTTGATTTTGAGAAAGATTGGGTTTGGCATGATATTTGGGTTTTGAAATCTGGCACAGAATGATCCTTGAAGCTTTGCACATAAATGACATTACAAAGTAAGAAAAGAAAAAGTTCAAGGACACCATAGGAAAGAGATATTTATGGGATGGAAAAGAAAGAAAAATATGGTTCTTCAATAATAGGAAACAATTTAAAAAGCCCATATCAATGAAACCCTACTGGAGAAGAGAGGGACCGTCACAAAGTATCAGGAAATTCCTGATGTTGCAGAGTAATAGGGAATCAGGAGAATGAAGATTGAGAAAAAGTACCAACATCTTGGGGATACAGTTGTGAAGGAGCCCTGAGAGTGACTGCTCATGTCATGCCATCTCACCCGGGTTTTGAAGGGGAGGGTAGGTACCATTCTGAGAGACAGAAATGATAAAAGGAGATAGACTCCAGGACACGACCTTGCAGAAGCATTCAGCTGAGCAGGAAATCCTTCCTAGGAGAACTTTTTTCTCTTCACTTCCATGATTTTTTC